GGGGAGGGGAATAGTGCCCATCATGGTGTCGGGAGAAAAATGCCCCTTTTTGGTTTTTGTAAGGGGGAAAAGTGCCCTCTTGGTATCAGTGGGAGGAATAGTCCCCCATTTGGTGTCAGGGGGAGGAATAGGCCCACTTGGGGTGTGGGTGGGGGAATAGGCCCCATTTTGGTGTCAGTGGGGGGATTAGTGCCCCCCTTGGTTCAGTGGGAGGAAAGGGCCCCTTTTATTGGTGTCAGTGGGAGGAATAGTGCCCCATCATTGGTTACGTGGGGGGAATAGTGCCCCATCATTGGTGCGGGGGAGGAATAGCCCCCCCAACTTTGGTGTCAGTGGGGGATAGGCCCATTTGGTGTAAAAAGGGAGGAATAGTGCCCCTTCTTGGTGTCATGGGGGGAAATAGTGCCCCTCTTGGTTCAGTGGGGGGAATAGCCCCCCTCTTGGTTCAGTGGGAGGTTTTGTGCCCATCATTGGTTCAGTGGGAGGAATAGTCCCCTCTTTTGGTTCAGGGGGGGAATAGTCCCCCATAAATTGGGGTTCGGGGGGGAATAGTGCCCCTTTTGGGTGCAGTGGAAAATTGTGCCCCATCATTGGTTAAAAAGGGAAAAATAGGCCCCTTCTTGGTGTCGTGGGGGAAAATAGTGCCCCACATTGGTGTCAGTGGGAGGAATATTTGCCCCATCATTGGTTCAGTGGGGGGAAATAGTGCCCCATCTTTGGGTGTCAGTGGGAGGAATAGTGCCCCATCATTGGTGTCAGTGGGAGGAATAGTGCCCCATCATTGGTTCAGGGGGAGGAATAGTGCCCCATCATTGGTGTCAGTGGAAAGAATAGTGCCCTCATTGGTATCAGTGGGAGGAATAGTGCCCCATCATTGGTGTCAGTGGGAGGAATAGTGCCCACGTTGGTGTCAGTGGGAGAATAGTGCCCATCATTGGTATCAGTGGGAGGAATAGGCCCCATCATTGGTGTCAGTGGGAGAATAGTGCCCCATCATTGGTTCAGTGGGAGGAATAGTGCCCCATCATTGGTGTCAGTGGGGAATAGTGCCCCATCTTGGTATCAGTGGGAGGAATAGTGCCCCATCATTGGTGTCAGTGGGAGGAATAGTGCCCATCATTGGTGTCAGTGGGAAGGAATAGTGCCCCATCATTGGTGTCAGTGGAGGAATAGTGCCCCATCATTGGTATCAGTGGGAGGAATAGTGCCCCATCATTGGTGTCAGTGGGAGGAATAGTGCCCCATCATTGGGTATCAGTGGGAGGAATAGTGCCCCATCATTGGTGTCAGTGGGAGGAATAGTGCCCATCATTGGTATCAGTGGGAGGAATAGTGCCCCATATTGGTGTCAGTGGAGGAATAGTGCCCCATCATTGGTATCAGTGGGAGGAATAGTGCCCCATCATTGGTGTCAGTGGGAGGAATAGTGCCCATCATTGGTGTCAGGTGGGAGGAATAGTGCCCCATCATTGGTGTCAGTGGGAGGAATAGTGCCCCATCATTGGTATCAGTGGGGGGAATAGTGCCCCATCATTGGTGTCAGTGGGGAATAGTCCCCCATCATTGGTGTCAGTGGGAGGAATAGTGCCCCATCATTGGTATCAGTGGGAGGAATAGTGCCCCATCATTGGTATCAGTGGGAGGAATAGTGCCCCATCATTGGTGTCAGTGGGAGAATAGTGCCCCATCGTTGGTGTCAGTGGGAGGAATAGTGCCCCATCATTGGTGTCAGTGGGAGGAATAGTCCCCCACATTGGTGTCAGTGGGAGGATAGTGCCCATCTTGGTATCAGTGGGAGGAATAGTGCCCCATCATTGGTGTCAGTGGGAGGAATAGTGCCCCATCATTGGTATCAGTGGGAAGAATAGTGCCCCATCATTGGTATCAGTGGGAGGAATAGTGCCCATCATTGGTATCAGTGGGAGGAATAGTGCCCCATCATTGGTGTCAGTGGGAGGAATAGTGCCCCATCATTGGTATCAGTGGGAGGAATAGTGCAGGAAGGGGTGTAAGGAAGGAAGGAAAGAATGGAAGGAAGGGTGGGGGGAAGTAAGTAAGGGATGGATAGAATGAAGAAAAGGAGGGGTGGAAGAAAATAAGGGTGGGTGGAAGGGAGGAAGGAAAGAAGGAAGGGAGGCGTGGGTGGAAGGAAGGGATGGGAGGGGGTGGGGGGGGAAGAAAGGGAGGGGGGGGGTAGGTGGGGGAAGGAGGGAGGGGTGGGGTGGAAGGGGGGAAGGGGGGGGGTGGGTGGAAGAAAGGGAGGGAGGAGTGGGTGGGGGAAGGAAGGGAGAGGTGGGAGAAAGGAAGGGAGGGGTGGGGGGGGAATGGAGGGGGGGGGAGGGGGGGGGGGGGGGGAAGGGAAGGGAGGGGAGGGGGGGGGGGTAGGTGGAAGGAAGGAGGGAGAGAGGAAGGGGAGGATGGAAGGTAGGAAGAGAGGGGTGGGTGAAATGTAGGAAGGGAGGGTGAAAGGAAGGGGGGGTATGTAGAAGGAAGGAAGGGAGGGGGTAGGGGAAGGAAGGGAGGGAGGAGGAAGAGGTGGGTGAAAGGAAGGAAGGGGAGGAAGGAATGGGGTGGGGAGGGTGGAAGGAAGGGAGGAAGGGGTGCATAGAAGGAAGGGAGGGAGGAGTGGGGGGAAGGGGGGGGTGGGTGGAAGGAAAGAAGGAAGGGAGGGGAGTGTGGAAGGAAGAAGAGAGGGGGGTGGGTGGAAGGAAGGGATGGTGAGTGGGTGGAGGAAGGGAGGGGTGGGTGGAAGGAAGAAAGGGGTGGATGGAAGGAAGGAAGTGAGGGATGGGTGGAAGGAAGGGAGGGGTGGAAGGAAGGGGGGGTGGAAGGAAGGGAGAGGGAGGGAAGACTGAACCGTCAGGTATGTTCTGTGCAGCGGTGGGAGGGATGACAAGCAGCAATCTCCTGTATGGCTTTCAATAATTCAGCTGGAAGCTGCTTCTCCTCCTCTCCCTCCTGCGGTTTCCAGCTGCTTTATTGGAAGTAATGCAGGAGATCTCTTATTGTCACCGCCACCCCACCCACACACCCCTAGTCCTGGCACTGCTCGCCACCCCCTTCTTATTTCCACATGGGTGAGTGGAAATTGTGGGGCTGCAAAGATGGTTGAAAATTCTCCTCTTGGGGGTTCATACCCCCCTGACCCTCCACTTATCTACGCTTCTGCAGCTCAGAGACAACACACTCATATGGATTGTTCACCCTGTTAAAAGTAAGGTGGGAGCCTGTGGGAGGGGCTACAGTCTTCTCTGCATGTGTATGCCGACAATCTTGTCTAGATCCACCTCCTTTGATTGATGTCAGCTATGGGCTGTCTGTTCTCCCCCTCCTCCCACTCCCTCTTCCTCTCAAACAACACACAGCTCAGATCGATTCTCTTACGGGAAGCCTTTATCTGCACACTGTGTAGCTGCCTGTTATGCTGCAGTTCTGACATGGCTGTGCAGCACAGCATTGACGGCGCTATATAAGTGCCTGAAATAAATAATAAATAAATAATACCCCATGTCGCTTTCTTGCTGCTTCAAAGACTCCATAGAAGTCAATCAGAAAGCTCGCTAACAGCACCTGCAGCTTTTGAGGGGCTTTTATTCAGCACTAGGTTTGCTTTGTTTTGGAGGTATTGCTGGTCTGGGATATCTCAGGATGAACTGGGAAACCAACAAGTGAACCAGAAAGACATCATCATCAGTCACTTCAAGTTCATGTGTCTATATTCTGGGGGTGTCTGGTGCAGACGTCACATCTGGTGTACAGCGAGGAGCAGCAGGAAGGTGAGCGAGCGGGGTTTGGATTGGAGCGGAGCAACTAGAAGACCGGCACATGTGGTGTGCAACATGGGAACGCTATAGCAGAAGGTAAGTGGGGACCAGAGAGTAGGGATCAGCAGAGCTGGGGGACCGCAGCAGGAGAAACTAGCAGATGTCACACATGGTGTGCAGTGTGGGAGCAATATAGAGGGAGGTAAGTGGGGACAGGAGACAGAGGAGGATCATCAAACCAGAGAATAAGCAAAGCTGGGAGTTACTACTGAGTGGGGGATCAGAAGAGCTGGGGATTACCACTGAGTGGTGGGATCAGGAGAGCTGGGGTTACTACTGAGTGGGGGATTAGCAGAGCTGGGGGTTACCACTGAGTGTGGGATCAGGAGAGCTGGGGGATACCACTCAGCGGTGGATTAGGAGAGCTGGGGGTTTAGGAGATTAGGAGAGCTGGGGGTTACTACTGAGCGGGGGATTAGCAGAGCTGGGGGTTACCAGTGAGTGGGGGATTAGCAGAGCTGGGGGTTACAACTAAGTGGGGGATCAGCAAATCTGGGGTTACCAGTGAGCGGGGGATTAGCAAAGCTGAGGGTTACTACAAAGTGTGGGATCAGCATAGCTGGGGTTTACCACTAAGTGGGGGATTAGCACAGTTGGGGGTTACCACTGAGTGGGGGATTAGAAGAGTTGGGGGTTACCACTAAGTGTGGGATCAGCAGAGCTGGGGGTTACTACTGAGTGGGGGATCAGCAGAGCTAGGGGTTACTACTGAGCAGGGGATCAGCAGAGCTGGGGGTTACCACTAAGTGTGGGATCAGCAGAGCTGGGGGTTACTACTGAGTGGGGGATCAGCAGAGCTGGGGGTTACTACTGAGCAGGGGGATCAGCAGAGCTGGGGGTTACTACTGAGCAGGGGATCAGCATAGCTGGGGGTTACTACTGAGCGGGGGGATCAGCATAGCTGGGGGTTACCACTGAGCAGGGGATCAGCATAGCTGGGGGTTACCACTAAGTGTGGGATCAGCAGAGCTGGGGGTTACTACTGAGTGGGGGATCAGCAGAGCTGGGGGTTACTACTGAGCAGGGGATCAGCATAGCTGGGGGTTACCACTGAGCAGGGGATCAGCAGAGCTGGGGTTACTACTGAGCGGGGGATCAGCAGAGCTGGGGGTACTACTAAGTGGGGGATCTGTTGAGTGAGGGTACTAAAGAGCTGGCAATCTGTTGGGGGGGGTATTATTGAGCCGGGATACTACTGAGCCTCTTTAAAACCAACAGAAAATCAGCGCACACGGGGCATTTGCCAAGCTTCAAAAAAGCATCAAAGACACATCAAAAACCCCGTATTGAAGCTGCTGATGCTGTAATGTGTTGCATAGTTACATATAGTTACATAGTTGCATATAGTTACATATAGTTACATATAGTTACATATAGTTACATATAGTTACATATAGTTGCATATAGTTACATATAGTTACATATAGTTACATATAGTTACATAGTGTTACATAGTGTTACATATAGTTACATATAGTTACATATAGTTAGTCTGGCTGAAAAAAGACAAAAGTCCATCCAGTTCAACTTTAAAAAAAAAATAAAAAAAATAAAAAATTGTGTGTTTAAAGTCAAAGCAAGTGTAAATGAAAGTCCTTAGAGACGACTAAAGAAGAGTCCTCATTAAGGATCCCCACGAGCAATATCTAAATGGCGTTGCCCGCGACCCGCGCAACCTCGATCTACGGAGAGCTTCAGATTTTTCATCTGCGTCCAACTGCCCATTTGGTTCCGTTTATTTACGGCAATTACCGGTAATGCTGCGTATATGCTGTATAATAGGGATCTAAACATCCCCAGCCAACCTCGTTGGTTCTGACCCTTTCCCAATTTCCTTGCCTGGAAGAAAATGTCAGCGCGCCAATTTTAAGGCGGTTGCAAATTAATTTTTTAGTAAAAAAGATTACAACACAAACCGTCTTTTCATTTTAGCGTTCGTACTTCCCATCTGGAAAATCATTTTTCAAGGTTTTATACCTGTAAAAAAAAAAAAAAAAATATAATAAAATAATCAAATTTTTTTTTTTTTTTTTGAAGTTTGAAAAGAGACTTTATCAGCCCCATGATTGCATGGAAAATTGGTTCTTTGGAGCGAACCAGTTCCCCTTCCTCGGGACGACGTCCGTGTCATTTATATAACAGCGCTTCATACGGCGCGTCTGCGGCGCATTCCAGCCTCCGACTTTACTGCTT